AACGAGCCGAACACGAGTTGTTCACGAACAAAGAGTCTTTTTAACAACTCTAATAATGTAGCCATAAGACAAAAGACAATAAGGGTTTGAGTAATATTTAAAAATTATTATTTATATTAAAACATCATTTGAACCTAATTTAATAATTTTTATTCTATTTTCTTAATCTATTTTCTTTATTCTATTTTCTTAATCAATATTTTAATTGATTATAAATCTTTGTAGCCTTGTAGTTAATTAGATTTTTTAAAGTACTACTCAATGTAAATATAAACTTGATGAGTAGTATTTCGAGCCAAAACGAGCCAAACACGAACAAACACATCTTAGTTCGTGTTCGACTCGTTAACTTATCGAATGAAATTAACGAGCCGAACACGAGCTTCTTAACGAGCCGAACACGAGCTGTTCGCGAACAACGAGCCGTTTTGACAGCCCTACGTACAGTTCATCATCTGTCTTCAAATTTGATTTGCGGAAGTAGACGGCATAGCAACGTACAAGCCATGATCTAATCGCGTGGCGCTTCTTTATGATCAAATCACGCCAACCAGTTGAGTTATGAAAACTAAGAAAACAAATGATATGGAAAAAAATTAGAAGAGATCAGTCAAATCAGAACTAGGATGAAAGAAATGTTTGATGTCATCGAGAATGAGTTTTCTTCCAGGGAGAAACGAATGGAGAACCAATTCGAGAGCATCGACAAAATTTGGGAGATGATAAAGAAACTTTTTGAGATGCAATCCAAGACCCTACCTACGGTTCAATTTGCAAACTCTACCCAAGAGTTGATTGGAGATTCATTGACTAAAATGAAAGATAAAAGAGTTCGAACTAGAGAAACACAAGTAGAAATGCATCCATCATCAAGAACCTCCTCCCAAGGCTCTATTGAGAAATGCATCCATCATCAAGAACCTCCTCCCAAGGCTCTATTTGGTGGTACATTAGAGATTTCTGATGAAGGCGATTGGGCTGAAATAAGGAGAAGGGATTATGAAAGCGATATGGAGGAGCACAAAGAAGAAATGAGAGAAGCGGGGAGGGGATATGGATTCGATAGAGGGAGTTTCAATACATGAGGGTAAACAACGACAAAGGAGGAAGTTGGGCTAGAGGTGTTAGAATTAGGAAGTTTAAAGGTCTGTTTGGGGCAGCTTATTTTGTGTGGAGGCATTTTGAAAATGCATCTGATCTGTTTAGATAAACTGCGTTTTGACGGCTTATGTGTTTTTAAAACGCTGAAAACTGAGTTTTCACACCGCTTGACAGCTTTCTGGCAGGGGTCTGGTTTTTCCAAAAAAAATAAAAATTTGTAATAGCCACCGCACCTAGCTTATCAACAGATTATTTTTAATCAGTTTATCAGCAAATTATGCAATAAGCTGCGGCTGCCCCAAACAGACCCAATGTGTCGATCTTCGAGAGAGAAGACACATATGGTGGGTGTATCAGGTGAAGTGATACTTTGCGGTGAATGGGCTATATGAGAAGGAGAAACTCGTAGCGTCAAGTTTATGTTTGGAAATGAAAACTCTAGCCTGGTTCGGTGAAGGGAGGTAAAATACCCGATTATTATTTGTTGGAACATTTCTAAGCAATTCGGGAAGAAGACTTACACAAATAATTCAATGTCTTGAGCTATTGTTGAGACTATTCAAAGGGATTTTTGAAGCCGTAGAAAAATTTCATGAAGGGCCTACAACCCAACATACGAGTATCACTCAGACTATTGAGGCCGTGGGGATTGGGAGAGACGATGGAGCTAGCTTTGATGGTAGAGAAAAAGAATCAGATGGATGAAGAAAGCCAATAGGAGCAATACAGATGAAACATCGTACTAAATTGCTACAACCACGATGATACCAAAAGCTCAAACAGTGAAAGTCCAAAGAGATGTTGCACAGGGCACAGATAATAAACCACGCTTGGGAGCAACCCTCAAGCACCTTACAGAGATGTGATCAGAAGTTTACCCAAGGAGACCGTTGCAAGTATAAAAAATTACAAGTTCTCATACTGCATGACGAGGAGACAAAGAATGAATCAATAAAGATAGTTGTGAGGGAAGAGGAACACTCAATTTTTTTCACCCTGAGAACAAGGTGTCTTTTTGTGTGTGTGTGGGGGGAAAGCAAATTTGTCTTTGGTACGCCTAAGGGCAATTTAGTCTTTTATTATTATTGTTGTTGGTTATAAATAGGTTTGTTATGTCTAGGATTAGGTTGAAGGCATGAGATTGAGTTGCGAGCCTTAGGTTTAGGGTTTACGAGAGATTTCCTACCTCTCAAATTGTAGGAATATGAAGAGATTGTCTATTTCTCGAATTGTAGGTGTTTATCTTTATATTCTTATTGAGTTCTTTGATTTATTGAAGAAATATTGTGTTTGCCCTAATTTTTCTTGAAAAACATATCGATTTTGAGGTCAAATCATATCATAGACATCACTATCCTTACTTGAAATATGTTTGAAATTTTGAAATAGGGGTTTTAATGAATGTTCAACTCATTAATCGAGCATGTATCATTCTTAAGGAATCACTTTTTTAAACGACGGAGTTCTAAATCCTAAGCCCTAATTTTTTTTTAACGAATCCCTTCTTAATCCAAAACTAACTACGTAAGAAAAATTGATTGTTGTACATAGAATGTTTAATAACCATAAACATAAAGCTGCATGATGTTTCAAAATACCAAAAAACCAACCGTTGGTTTTACCAAAAAACATGCAACTTCTTTTGCAAATTACAAACCAACTAAAAAGTATAATGCACGGACAAAAAAGGAATTTAAGGTTAAAGGTAAATGAGAAGAAGAAAAAGAGATAGATGGGAAAAGAATAATAAGAATATAAGAGATCATAGAAACATAAGAACTGCAACCTATGCAGGGAGTAGGTGAATCATTATTTCAATTTATCATGTACAAAATTGGACTAAAAACACCAATTATAGCATGGTGGTCACCCAGAAGCAACATGAAGCACATAAAATTTCGATATCTCATGGGCATTCAAATCATGAAAACTTTTTGTATGTTAAATGCAAGCAATTCAATCAAACTACATAAGTGCTGTGAAAATTAATAATTTTGAATCAGTCGAGAAGTAAATAGTCAATGAAGTAAAAATATAAAAAAATGAATATTTTCACCTTAAAAACAGGAGGTTCCACATCTTCTACAATAATCTTGTCCACATTTGGGTTCCCAATGAGACCAAAAAACTGAGCTTTGAACACTGGAGAACGAGCAGCTAGAATTAACTTGTGAGCCTTAAAAGTCTCATCACCAACAATAAAAACAATATCTGAGCCGGTGCCAAATTTCAGCAGTTCTCTAAAAGAGCTTCCCATATCTGGCGGTGGTACAGGGATGAAAAACTGCCTGGGGGTCTCAAGACGATTTCTAACAACACCGACAGTACAGTTCATCACCAGACAGTCATCTTTAAGGTAATCAGATGTTTCTAACGATGTTCTTCTATAAAATCGTTTGTAACCCCTGGAAATTTCATCAATCAATCAAATGCTGAAATATCCATAGTTTCAAAGAAAATAAAACGCTGGATAAGCGCCGTGAAAAACATATCTGACAGACTATTGGTCTCGGACAATAAGGCAAAAAATAAATGATCAGAATTGGCTCAAAAGGGAAGCAGATTCCCTATCAGCCCAAGAATTCAAACAAACAAAAAGATACTGAACAATTTCTCAAATTCCAAATACTTTTCGGGCATTTCAGGCACAAATTAAAAGCCTATTAATGTTTGTAAAATGGACCTTAGAGGTGTCCATCGGATAAAAGGGAGGAGAATGGTTCAGTATCCTATGTTTCAAATCTTTGGTTTAACATCTTTGTTGCAGAAATATAGATGATTAAGTTAAACAAGATTATATGACTGATTTAAGAAAGCATTCTGAAAGTATGAAGTCATCAAAATTTTAACGTGCACTGATCAGAAGCATATAGCTATTAACTGCGTATTACTACGCAAGTACAGAAGCATAATATGAGTGGCATCATACATAGGGTTGTAAACAAGCCGAGCTTGAGCGAAGCGATGTGTTCGAAATGGCTCGTGAACATTGTGTTTGTGTTCGACTCGAATAACATATTCTTATTCGTGTTCGGCTCCAAATAGGCTAGATAGAATATATTTCGTGGAATAACACCGAGTAACACAGCAGAGTTATTTGGGTGTTATTCGCAGTGTAATTGGTGTTATCGGTGAAAAACACTGAGTAACACAGTGAATAACACTGCAAAATAACACCGCGGTGTTACTCAGGTGTTATTCAGCGGTGTTAATGGTGTTATCGGTGTTATTCCATAGTGTTGCTCGGTGTTATTCTACGGAATAACACCAATAACACGACAGAATATCGAGTTTATTTATATTTTATTTATTTATTTATTTCTTTTCGAGTCAATTCGAGTCAAACACGAGCGAACAAATATTTGTTGTTGTTCGACTCATTTATATTTCAAGCTTAAAAATTTATTTGTGTTCGGCTCGTTAAGCTTAGCGAACGAGTCATTTTGACAGCTCTAATCATACATAACATTGTTTTGTTCCATATTCGAAAGTCATAGTCAATGTGAAATGAAAATAAACCTGATATAAATTAGGACAAGAGTAGACAAACCACACCAAAGAAGCACACAAAAGATTCAAAACATTTATGTTAAACTTCATGAAAGGGATCTACAAGTGTGGATGGCATGAATGGTTGGCGACTGCAGCAAAACAATAGCAGAAGTTGTTTTTAGGTGGTTGCAGTGAAGAGGGAGGTGTCGCAATGACGCAAGAGGGACACGGAAAGGTTGGGGGAGGATAAATCATCATCTTGGGAATAAGATACAGCTGAAGCACCACTCAACCCTTGGACACAACTCTAGAAGGGAGTACCTAAGACGCCGACGGCTATTCTAACATAAACACACTCAAACCCTCTAAAACAAAAGGAAACAATATATATAATACTAAGGAAACTAAGGAGTGCTCCATCAAGTGAGTGGCGATCCTAAGCAAACAGGTGAGCCGGTTGGCCCTTAGTTTGCCCAAGCATTCAAACAGACAAAAATATATTGAACAATTTCTCAATTTCCAAATATTTTTCGGGCATTTCATGCACAAATTAAAAGCCTATAAATGTTTGTAAAGTGAGTTTTAGAGGTGTCCATCGAATAAAAAGGAGGACAATAGTTCAGTATCCAACATTTCAAACCTTTGGTTTAACATCTTTGTCGCAGAAATATAGATGACTAAATTAATTAGGATTATTTGACTGATTTAAGAAAGCGTTATGAAATTATGAAGTCATCAAAGTCTTAATGTGCACTCATCAGAAGCATATATCTATTAACTGTGTATTACTAAGCAAGTACAGGAGCATAATATGAGTGACATCATACATAGGGTTGTAAACGAGCGGAGCTTGAGTGAGCTGAGCCTCGGCTCGTATTCAAAATGATTCGTGAACATTGTGTTCGTGTTCAGCTCGAATAACATATTATTGTTCGTGTTCGGCTCCAAATAGACTCGGTAGAACATATTTCGTGGAATAACACCGAGTAACACCACGGTGTTATTTGGGTGTTATTCGCAGTGTTATTGGTGTTATTCCGCGAAATAACACTGAGTAACACAGTGAATAACATCGCAGAATAACATTGTGGTGTTACTCTGGTGTTATTCAACAGTGTTAATGATGTTATCGATGTTATTCTGTCGTGTTACACCGTGAAACAACACCCATAACACAGCGAATAACGCCACGATGTTACTCGATGTTATTCCGAGGTGTAACACCGGGGAATAATATCGATAACACCAATAACACCATGAATAACACTGCGGTATTATTCCGCAGTGTTACTCGGTATTATTCCGCAGAATAACACTAATAATACAACAAAATATTTAATATATTGTTATTTTAATTTATTTAATTATTATTTATTTCTTTTCGAGCCGAACACGAGCGAACCAATATTTGTTCGTGTTCGACTCGTTAAGCTTAATGAACGAGCCGTTTTGACAGCCCTAATCATACATAACATTGTTTTGCCCATGTTAGAAAGTCATAGTCAACGTGAAATGAAAAGAAACCTGATATAAATTAGGACTAGAGTAGACAAAACACACAAAAGAAGCACACAAAAGATTCAAAACATTTCTTTTAAACTTCATGAAAGGGATCTGTTGGTGTGGGTGGCATGAATGGTTGGAGACTGCAACAGAACAACAACAGAAGCTGTTTTTAGGCGGCTGCAGTGAGGAGGGAGGTGTGGCAATGACGGAAGGGGGAGACAGAAAGGTTGGGGAAGGATAAATCACCATCTCAGGAATAAGATACAGCTGAATCACCACTTAATCCTTGGATACAACTTTAGAAGGGAATACCTAATACGCTGACGGCTGTTCTGACAAAAACACACTCAAACACTCTAAAACATCAAGAAACAACATATATAATACTAGGGAAACTAAGGAGTGCTCCATCAAGTTAGCGACAATCCTAAGCAATCAGATGAGGACCAATAGGTCCCTAACCGCGCATCACGCAAGAACAGACACCCAAGTCATTTATGTTTCACCAAGGACACCAAATCATTAAGAAAATGACGGAAAACACATATTTCTCAAACCTTATGTGGAATCTGATGTTACTAGTGCTCTTGCCAACAGATAAACACCAGTGGGATTGAGCTTGATGATAGCAGAGAATAGTAACAAAAAAGGCAATGACTACAGCGAACATTTCAAGACATTATTATTGATACCTTACTGTCATGACCGCCATTACTAGAAAGAGTTCACTTTGTCCTCATCTCACATAGCGATGAGCCAGACTTGGCTTACCGTTGAAAGACCTACAGAGTAAATTTTGCACGAAGTCCTTATTTAGTTCAGCGATGCATCCCCAGATGGTTGAATCGATATAGATGACTACTCGCCAGTGGAAAAATCATCTCAGATGTTTTTTTTTTTTGGAGAGCAACCGACAATGGGATTCAAGTGCTCATATTGATGTAGTCGAAGACTCTCTAACCTTGGGGGGCTACCGCCGCTCCTATATCTTTAATGTGCATGACCTGACTCTATACTATAAGGAGGCATAAACTTTGACTGATGAGGACGAAGCTCCCCACAAACCTAGAAGACTAACACAGGCGTGAGGGGCACAAGGTTCCCCTCCCATATTTTAGAGCACGAACCGCCCGAACCAGACAAGGAGGAGAGTCAATCCGCTCCCTTCTTTGTATTTGACACCTCTTTTCAACAAGGGCCCCAATCCTAATTAGCTAGGACTTATATATTTGATTCATGTGTTTTAAGTTTGCAGTTTTATATATATTTCTTTTGTCGGGACAGTCATAAGTGTCTCATATTTTCCCTTCAAGGGTTGTATTTGCGAGTGATGCTCTGACCGTAACTTATTTGGAGGTGGTGGCTATCCTCCGCTTTCTTGCTTCCACATCCTTCCCCTTCGCTATCGTCGTCTCCTTTCCTTGTTGAAGAGATCCCCGGATAGTCTCCTTGTTTTCTTCCTACAACCACACATCCTTTCCATCTTGCTAGTCCATTTCAGTCGTCGGTTCCCCTTCCTTCCAGCTGCAAGCCCCATCGTCAACCATTTGTCCCATCAGCCGCCATACACCTGCAATCAACCAACGTCCATGTCGCTCCTGCCCGTTGCTTGCTACCCTTCCACTATAGCCCCACCTGCGCCATCTATCCTATTTAGATGTCCCTCAACTAGTCCTTCTCATCCTCCCTCCACCAAACCTCAATCTCACCACAGCCAACCACATCCACTGCTACCCTTCCCTTGTAGCTCACCTCAACCAATTCTCCTTCTCACTACTGCAAGCCTACTAATTTGTTACTATTCTCTGTAATTCCCCTACATCAACTCGTGCTATCCCGCTGCAACCAACATTGCAATCACCTATTTACTTTCAGTAATAACATTTACTTTTTCATTATTGTTTTGAACATCTAACACTCTTTTACTGTCAGATATCATTATAGTTGATGTCTTGATGACATTATTTACTATGTTAGTATGTGCACTATTTCATACCTTCTTATTATTCATTCATATTACATGTCCTATTTATTTGCAGAATTTGATTCGTCGAACTCACCCATTAATATTTTTCTTATAGCATGGTCTACAAGGGTGTTTGGTGTACCATTGTCACGAGCAAATTATTCAATATTAGGCTATTTATTAAAACTTTCAGCATGTATTTTAGTTGCTACATCACCTGTTTTTTATTCAATTTCTTTCAATTGAATCTAAATCATTAATGAAAAAAATTTTATATTTTCCTACCCACTTTCGTTTTTCTTTTTTTGTATATAATTTTTTTCTTTTAAGAGTACATAACAGATTTATACATTCATTCATCACGTCCCGCGTTGCATGGTTCACTGCCTTCCGAACCCAGGATCTCCAGAGGAAGGAGTCAAACTTTCAAAATAAAAATTCATAACCCCACAACTCTAGCTTGAAGTGCCACACCTTGCAATGTGATGCCCCTGCTGCCCAAGGTCAACTTTTGCTTTCTATTTTAGGAATTCATCTAGTAACTTTTGCCTTCACTTTCCCCATTTTCCTACATTGTGATCCTTTCTAGTTTAATGATATTCAGATTCCACTATTACTCAACGGTATTGAACTTCATGGCCTACTCTTTGACACAATTAAGTTTTAAGTTTTTCAGTTCAGGGAGAAACAAGTATTCCCAGATTTCACAAAATGTTTAAAACCATCAAAACCCGAATGCAAACAAATGACTTCATAATCCATACAAGAGCTAACAACGAAAAGGCAAATGAACTTACTAATGATCAAAAGAGCAATAAACAAAACAAGCTGGTGTTGTGGGAGAGAAAAAGACGCACCACTTAGATAACGCAAACGATCAGTCAGGGATAAAAATAAACCAATCAAGCCCTAGCACATCAAAAGACTGAATCGCGAGAAGTAACGAGTAAAGAGCGAACTGAAACCCATGCAAAAAAATCGTATTCGTACCACATGCTCCCGCGATACTTAAGAGTGTAAGGACCACTTTCCAGCGCACGATCAAAGTGGCTGTGAACTTTGTGCTTCCCCTTTCCGCTCTGATCAAGTAGCGTGAGCTCAAACAGTGCCCTCACATCAGTTCCTTCACTGGCCAACGCAATGAAGACGGAAACATATAGCGAATTGTCCTCCGGATTCTTCCCGTCAGGATAGAAGTAGACCGCCCACTGGTATCCCCCTACAGTGAACATATCGCTCGTCATGTACTTTCCCGGCCCCATTCCTTTCGCCAAGGAGTACCCTTTTATCGTATACTGATGCGAACCATTCACAGTCTCAAACAAAGACTTGGATCGCGATATGTTGTCCGCTGCAACCACTCCAGAAGGTCCCCCTGTCTTCTCCATCTCATCCGCTATGACCAACCACTTGAAAAAAGTAGTTCAAAATCACTTTCGTATTCTTCAGCAAGATAATCCAAAGCCTGCCAAATCTAGCCCAACTAAGTGATCGCGTCCTCCCAAGTACCCACGCAGTAATATCAAGAGACAACACCGCATCGCGAACAAACTCACTACCTGCGCCGGTGGTAGCAGAGCAACCAAACCCTAGCCAAAGAAAGTCAAGTTTCTCTGTTTCACTCGAACTACCTAGCACCGATCGTTCTCTCCATACAATCCGACGATTTCAAGTTATATAAATCTCGCTCGGCGATGACGAGAAAAGACCGGATGAATCAAATCGCCGGCGGAGGTTACGACCGCTGCAGAAGAAAAGAGGAAGAAATGAGGAACGGTGAGTAAGAAATAAAGGAAGGCCGGAGGAACTAATTAATGACCAGTGCTGGTTGGTGGGCATTTATAGAGCATTGGCGGGGCGTGTCAGTACCATGAACCGGACCGCCGGGTCACGACTTGCGGCCACGGCATTACCGCCGACACGCCGTTGCGGGTCAAGCAAGCTTCTTTTTGTTTTTGAGATTCCGGGACATGGGGGGGCTCGGTGGAGCGATGTTTTTTGGGAAATGGATAAGGCTAACTGGTGAGAGACTCACATTTATTGAAGTTAGTTTATTTTCTATTTATAGTTTTATAAAATTAGAAGTAACGTGTCAAAATAATTTTAATTATTTAAAAGCCCATCCTAATTTAATAATTTATGTAAGTGTCAAAATAATAATTCACTATTTTAAATTTTAGCTTTAACAGTGCTCCGTGAGGACTATTTTGACCTCAAATTAAAGAATCTAATGTTGAATCCAGACTTTTTCTATGAGGCATGCCGAAAAATCAAAGCGGAATAAATTTTGAGGGAGAAATAAAGGGAGACTAGAGGAACAAAGAATGAAAGAGCACACGAATTGTATTGACTGAGTATTCTCTTTTGTGACACATTTTATGTATTGCAATTGAGAGTAATAAAAAAAAAAGAATAGGTATCTCTCTACAAAAGATGATTTTAGAGAGAGAGTTTAAAGAGACCAAGAGCTTAGAGAGACAATAAAACCCTTAATATATACTATGGTCTCCTTATTTATAAAAAATAGAGATACATTGTAAAATTACATGTTTTCCCATATTTTAATAGGGGTGTTACATATATTATTATTTGTTGATGTGCCTTTTTAAACTTAGAATTTATTTTGGTATCTTTTCATATGGTCTAGACCTCCAGGTTTGCAGGTTCTTGAGTTGATTGACTGAGTTATTGTCGGTCAGCTATTTTATCTAGATACTAATAGATTTTCACTTTTTAAAGCTGACCGGTCTTGGGTGTGATAGCCGATCGGCCTTAGGGTGGCTGATCGTCTTGCTTGTTCCTTAGTGATCTTTCACATGGACTTAAACGACATTATTTAGTAGTCTTCGCTATTTTGATACTTTATTCACAGATAACTAATAAGAGTGCATGTACATTAAATGTACATATTTTAATTTTCTTATATATTATAAAAAGTCATGTGTATTATTTCAAACTATAGGATGAATCTATATGATTTATATAATTCTAGGCGTGCAATAAAGTATGTGTAAAGAAATTATAAAAAAGACAACATTAAATAACATCAAGAAAAGATAGAATTTTGTACTTTAATCTAAAAATATTTTAAATACGACAATTTATGTGTTTATATATATATATATATATATATATATATATATATGTATA